ACGCTCTATTTGAATATGCGCGGCTTAAGTGCCGCACCAACTCGAACGCGGGGCACGGGCGTCCTGACGTCAAACTCTCACCGACGGATATTGTCGGGATCTGTCTGTGTGTCTTCACACCTTGAGGTGAATGGCGCCGCCTCTAACCGCGCCACTTCCCAGAGGTACGCCGCGACGCGGCGTGCGTCTTACGATTCTCTAGAAAGGTCATATCTATACGCCGCCATGGTGTTTGCTCGGCGCTCACATCAGCCGGGGCAGCGTCAGGCCAGGCCCGAGAAGGCGACGGCGCAAGGGCCTGGAAGGCAGGACGGACCTCCCCGCAGGACGCGCCCGCCCAGCGGGTCTGCCTACCCGGCGAGTCGCAGGGGTGCAGCCTGGAGGACGGGCCACCCCGCAGGACGCGCCCGCCCAGCGGGACTGCCTACCCGGCGGGCCGCAGGGGCTCAGCCGGGCGCGGGAGCTCACCTTGTGGTGGAAGGGCCTGGCCAGCCCCTTGCCGGCGAGCCGCACCAGGTCGCTCTTGTTGCGCGGGAAGCGCACGCGCTCGTCGAGCTCGTACGTGGGGATGACGAAGGCGCACTGCGGCGGCCCAGGCCGCTGGCCGACGCGCGGGCCCGCGCCCGTGCGCGGCGGCCTCGGCAGCACGGCCGGGGGTGCGGCCGCCGAGGCGCCCCCGCACTGGGCGTTCTTGAGGAACTCGTTGAGTCCCTGCGCGAGCCCTAGGCTGGGCACGACGTCCACGTCCACCAGGAACACGTACTCCGTCTGTGGACAAAAGCAGCGATAGTTAACACACCCGCCCGAGTGCGCGCCCAGTTGGCCAGATCCGGCCGTACTTTACCTGACAGGTTCTCCTCGCCAGGTTGCGCAGGTGGTTCTGCGGATAGCCGTGTCTCGTCCGCCACCGCATGGTCTCCGGCCTCCTCTGCCGCATGAGCTCCTTGAGGCTGGGCTCGGGTCGGAAGCAGTCCAGGTGCGCCTCCAGGCTCAGGATCTCCGTCATCTGCAGCAGGAGGAGTGGCGCGCGGGTTAAGGCCGTATCACACTGTAGGCTGGCGGTGGCGTTGGCGCTGGCGCTGGCGTTGGCGCGCTCCAGCCGACCAATCAGCGCTCAGCAGTCGGCGCTGGGCGCTGGCGCTCGGAGAATAGCCGAGCGTCTATTTTCACGAACGCCAACGCCAGCGCCATCCAATCAGATGCGAGCTCTCAGTCACGTGGCTCGATCAGTTGCGCGCCAAACAACTCAGAGAGAA